AAARKTTYCMMMAWTTTTTAATGACGAATATGGTTTCTGCGCGAGTTGTTAAACTTTGCGACGAAGACTTAMATAGACCAGAATAWAAATGTGTGATCATACGAAACAAAGAGAGAAACGAGAAAGATGGAAAAGTAACAAAGTCTTTCAAAAACCTTAAAAATTCTAGGGGAACGATCTTCAAATTGTGTTATACCTTTATTTCACGGCACATGCTGCTTGATATCACTTATTAYGCATGTTGCTAGCGGTTGTAAATTCATTTTTTTTACGCTAGATGGAAAGCGCGGTTGTATGACCGTTTGGTAAATRCGTTCTTCAATCGTTCGCAATGTCATTATCGAGCMAGATCCATCGATAGACGACCGTACAATTATGGACGGACACTTACTCTCATTAATTCAGAAAAAAAGAAATTAATCGCGTTTCCTTTCTTTAATGTCAACACTTTTTCATGTTTTATTTTGTTACTTCTCATTAATTTCAGAGTATTCGTTCTGTCAGGCAATAAAGAGATGAATACAATTGAAAAGGTGTTTGATTCCAACACGAATTTCTTAAAATTGTACATATGTTATAGTTAAATTTCAAAGAAAATCTGAATTAAATTAACACTAACTTTACTTCAACCAACATGACAAATTCACATTATTGAATTCTAAATGTGTCAGTGCTTAAGGAAAGGTTAAACACATATATATCTTGTTGTAGGAGGAGCCTGTCCGTGCTTGGTAGAGATGTTATTTAGCAATACAGGAAGCTCGGTAGTTTACAATCTCAAACCTTTTAAATTCCACCTTGATTGTACATTGTAATGTCATCAACGGCACTTWATAATCTACTTGTTTGACTTGCGTTTAGCACAATATGAAGACCTGTCCATGGCATGACATTGTCTTATAATGTACATTTGTCACTGTTATGAATGATTGATCGACTTCTCGTACAATTTAACCGCGTTTTCATAAGTTAATAACCAGTTTAGGGCTCGTACGACATGTTCGACGCAACATTCCATCAAAAGTAGCGATTTAAGCACAATTGAATCTATGCAGGAAGCATGACCTTTCAAAGACTTCACATTAACACGAGGAAGTAGAAAAAACTTCATTTTTTGACAAGATCTGTCGTAGACTAAGAATGCTGTTTGACGTGCCACTTTTTCCGCTTTGAAAAAAGTGTTTATAAAAGTCGGGGCCTGACAATACGTGAAAATAGAATTTGACTCCCATTTTCTCTTCTTGTTTTTCTTTTTTCTTTTCTTTTTGAGTATTGTAATGTACTTACTTTTCATAAAGATTACATCAATCATTCTCATTCTGGTCTATGAACTGATGTAATTATACACAGACTTAAGACAAAGCTGCAATTTTAACTCGTCTTTAACCAAAATTACTCATGAAGTTGTAAATTTTATTCTAAGAAAAAGAAATACTGCAAAAATGAAAAGAAGGCAAAAAGATTCACAAGGAAGCGAAATGAAGAAAGGGATGAATGATAAAATTTACTTGTAGACTTCCCACTGTTAAATATGAATTTATATTTTCGGTTTAAAAGTCATTAAGTCAAAGAGGGCTCACAAAAACACACCTTGGGTTTTCGCTTGACAAAAAAATAATTTCTTATAAGACAACAAACAACTCAATCGAAAACTTTTCACGAGTACAAAACTTCAGCTTAATTGAAAATCAACTTGAACGTATAAAAGATACGATTTTAGTCGTAAAGGAGGCAGAAGTGTTCGATTATTTTCCCCGCACAATGATTATTATAAATACATCGAATCGTTCTATTTATGAAAGCAGAAAAACTAATTATAGTTAAACAAAGCTAAATTCGTCTGATTTTCAAAAAGCAACATAAACAAACAGCATATACAAGGAAGTGGAAATACAAGAAATGATTTTACAAAGCAAAAACAATTTAGCAATGTACTTTAATGGCGTGGTGAAGAGAAGATAGTCTCATTAAGAAGCTAGCAGCTGTTCTAAAGTGTAAAAAAAATTCAAGTACGGAACATAGTATATGACTGGAAAAGTTTTAGTTAATGCAGAAACAACTCTTACCGAATCACATTTCAGTGGCATTTTTCATGTAATTTGTTTTTTCGTTTTCTCTCTTACTGTATTCGCCTAAAACAATTCTGAATTGATTATTTGTTTAAAATTGAGCTTAAGATCTACCTACGCAAGCAAGTTACATCGTACATTATTTCATTTGGGGGACTTTCTGGTCCAATTGAAAACCCAAGTATAAAGAAAACATTGGACAAAATGCGTGTCATGAGGAGCTGTATCAAGCATCGTGGGCGTAGATCGTTCTTTTTCCTTTTACTAATGTTTACTGTTATTCCTCAACAGCCTTCTACAAGGAGAATATCAAGCAACAAACATCTAGTTGTTTGTAATAATGGAAGAGACTTGTGTATCGAGCCGGAAAAGAGAGCTCTCCATCAGAAAACAAGGGAAGAGACACAAGGGAGGAAACCCCGAATAGACAGGCTACTACAACGGCTACGTTATTTCCGAAATTCTCGCCGTCAGAGATAATAAAACATTAGGAATTTAATAATTAAATAAATGCTAAGACACTAAGGAACCAAGAGACTGAGAGAGAAAGGTAAATTGTTTCTCAACGTGATTTAACTTCCCGTCCTTCTTCGCGTTGGTGTTGTTAAATAMATATGCTCCCTTTGGATGTGACAGTTTCAAAATCATAAAACCCGCTTGTAAAATTATTGAAACTTTAAACTAAGTGAGCTATAGTTGTATAAATCTATTTTAAATACATTTCCAATGTCATTGTGTCGTTACAAAGCCATGAATTAAAAGGATTTCACTTGATTGAGTGCTGTCATTATCTGCAAGTTTGAATTACTAGTACGAATGTAAGGTCATGTAAAGTGCATGTTCTGTCTTTATTTTTTAAAGTGTTGTGTGTTAAGTTCACTCAAATGGAAGTATTTTATATCATTATTGCTATTATTGTTATTATTATTATTATTATATATCTATAAATGATTTCTAGACTTTTATGTTTCATTTAAAAGGTATTTCACGAGATGCATTACTCTATCCTGAATTAAAATCCACAATTTTTTTTTCTTATTTGTGGTCCTATTTTTTTGTTTTTGTTTTTGCCAGTTTGCATTAACTTTTTGTTGTTTMTTTGTTTTTGTTCCTTTAGTATTTATCGCTCATTCGTATTTTTTTACTTTGGCTTTTAGCTGTTTACATACAATATCTCAGAAATTGAAGATAAACTTTTAGTARATTTTAAACAGTTTGATTATCTGGCGAACTTTTAACCGAGATATCTATACTAGATTGCTGTCGGGCCTTTGAACGAGACGACACTCCGTCTGTCGCTACACCAAGAATAAAGCGAAATATAAACACCTATCGATATTCTCAAACGTGACTTGAGCTTTTCTATGACATTTCTGTCAAATAAAAAGGTTTTAACAACTGTTCCTGGACGTTATTTCAAGTACAAAAACATAACAATTGTTGGAAAATGTCAAAAAAGATTACATAAATGATAAACAGCTTGACAATAGAATTAAGTACACTTTGAGTTGATAGTTAACATTGAAAAAACAACTCATTTCTAAATAGTGACGCCATCTTGTTATGGCCGCCATCTTGAATTCGTGAATTTCGGACGCCATCTTGTATTTCGTAAGAACTAATGGATGCCCAGGGGCACTTAGAGATTTATAGACTACACGGCTATTGGAACTTTGCATGATTCAATAGTCTACTTCACGGTGCGCCATCTTGAAAGGTAGCCTTGCCTTTTCATCAAAGCGAGACGACCGTTGAGCGCTTCCATGTAAAGGCACGGCTTCCTTTCAAGATGGCGCAGGTAACCGTGAAGGAGGCTATTTTGAATTATTTAAAAAAAACAACCGTTCTATCATGCAAGAGAAAATTTGATAACCTCACTTTCATCTTTCTAAGCTTATAAACTCGAAAATGCGAAAAATCACCAACAGAAAAACCAAACATATTTGGATAGTTTGAAGTGTAACTTTATTTGTGGAGATGAAACTAACAAAACGATGGATTTAGTGGCTACTGAAGAATTATTGCATACTATCTATTTTACGGTCTTGGTATTTAAGAAATATAAAACGGCGCGTGTCTCTGTCCTCTGATATAAACACGGTGGGAGTTGARAAACACGAGAGAAGCAAGCYTAGGAACACGAGCGTAGCGAGTGTTTCTCTTGCTTCTCGAGTGTTTTTCTACTCCCACCGTGTTTATATCAGAAGACAGAGACACAAGCGCCCGTTTTATATTTCTTGTATAAAGTTTTTCGAGCGAAAAGAAAATTTTGCCGGTAAGCCGTGTCTCTGTYCTCTGATATWAACACGGTCGTCAGCCAATCAGAGCGCGCGTTATATATGAAAAATTTTATAAAATGTTATAATACTGAATTACTGGACAAAATTCCGGAAGTCGAATTCTAGCGAAAAAAAATCTTGTTAAACTTTTTATCACCAGGGTTTTAAACACCTATATTTAGCAAGGGCATTTTTTTACAGATAGCTTTGAAAGCGCATGTATAACATCCGAGCTCAAGGTTTCATTGGAGGGCTACCTATGTCGAGCGAGAAGATAAGGAATGGGTCTAGTCCAAAGAAAAGTTTTCACGTTATTCTTTCTTGAAACTTTTTTGATTTGCTTAGAGCAAAATTTTGCAAAATTCAAGACGATATTTCAATACTATGCACCATGGTTTGGAGGTGATCATGTGCGATCATTATAGAGCGGATTTCGTATGAGTGGGAAACGGACGGTACTGTACTGTGACCGTCATCGTACTGTAACCAAATTCTAGTGCCCCATTGGTTCACCAAAATTGTGCATGCAAGGTGCGGTAACTGTGAGGTAACCGTGCGGTAACGGTGTCCCACTCATACGAAATCCGCTCTAAAGAACCTGTAATCACCGCGGCGTTAAGAGATAATAACCTGCTGAATCAATCAAAATCCTTCAATTTGAATGACAAAAAATGAGAAAAAGATGGGACTAAAAGATCAAAAAGAACAATACCTTCTATAGTAAAATATAGCTAAAGGGTTTATACTAGTATGAAAATGGCAAAACATTAGAAGAGACACGAAATTTTTGAAGACTTATCAATAAAGGTTCGATAATCGTATTTGGACA